ACGTCTCTACTTCTGCCACGATGTCAGTAAATATCCAGAAAGGTCTGTTGGAACTCTCATTCCTTCTTCCCTGTGTGGATCTAAATGTTGTAGTTCAAGGATCTGGTTGTTACAGGTAAAATTCTGAGGATTCAGCTAAGTATTGGTGGCTCATGGCTACAATCCTAAATGCTCAGGCTCGTGGTTTGAAGCCAGCTGAGGCAGGAAAATTCACGAGACTCTCCAATAAGCTACCAAAAAGCCGGACATAGAGCTGTGGCTCAAGTGGAAGGGTGCTAGCTTTGAGCAAATGCAGCTTAGGGACACACACACACACACACACACACACACAAATTCTGAGCCATGCCAGGCATTACCATGTTGAGGAGCAATTGGGGCCAGAAATTGGATAATCCTTTCTATTATCTTAAAGAACATGGCCATGCAACAGGTATCTGATTACTCAGGATGCCAGTTAGACAAAGGATTTAACTGTATAGAGAATCATCTTGAAGCTAATGCAGTGCTACAGGAGTATTTTATATACTACTACTCAAAATTAAAAACAAAACAAAACCCTACGAGTGTGTGTGTGATTGAAGTTTAAATCTAGGGCCTTGGTTGTAGTAGGAAAATGCTCTCTTCTACTTGAGCTGTGCCCCCCAGCCATTTTGAGTGTATTTTGCTTTTGATAGGTCTCATTAGCTTTGCCTGGGCTGACCTTGGACTCATGATCCTCTTGCCTCTGCTTTGGAATAGCTGGGATTTACAGGCCTACGTCACCACTCATTTTGCTCTTACAATTTTGAAAGTAGTACTGTACTTTTGAGTTCTGTTTCCCACTTATTAGGACCAGAAAGACACTTTGGAGTAATGATGGCCTTTGCAATCTAATAATACCTAGTAAACTTGAATTTGACACTTGATGGGATGGCCAAGGCCAGGGAGAAGTACAAACATTTCTGTGTCCATAGCTAGCATATACTTGTCTTGTTTTATAACCCAAGTGTTTAGTTTGTTTATGCAATGTAACTGGTAACTGATTTTGGCTTATGCCTCTCATTTTGCTACTTATTTCTGTGACAATAAAAAAGTAAAATTTAAGACATAGTTTATCTTATACGGCAAAACTTGCCCATTCCTGCTATCAGTCTTCCAACAAACACAGCAGGCTGGCTGCCAGCTGGCCAGCGAGGATAATGGCTTTTCATGTTGTATTCGGATAGAAGCATAGGAGGAGCTGAATGAATCTCAACAGGTACAATCCTATGTCTCATTTGTATTAGAGGCCTGTGGAAGGCTGTACAAAAACCAGGTTATGTAGTAACGAAGTTAAAAAAAAACACCAGCTCTTTTGTGACAGGGAGCTTTAAACTTAAGGATGGATCACTCACTTCTTAACCAGGTTAAGGCAATTTAGGAGCTGAAATAACACAAACTTCCTGGCCTCAAGAACTGGGAGAACAGCTGAGTCTGGAGTGAGCTAAACTGGGAAAGGGCAGAGGTAATCCTAGGAATCCCAGGCAAGACTTGACACTGGAGACAGCAAGTCTAAGTTTAAAATGGGCAGCTTTCCATCCCAGGGCACTGGCAGCTCCAGAGATGATGTATGCACCAACAGCAAAGGACTTTCTGGATGAAACCCTCAGCCTGGGATAAGCAGGTTGGCTACCTTTGTAGATACTGACATTTCAATGTTTTGCTCCCAATTGAAAGAATTGTTACAAGGTTCCTAATCTTTTTGTAGCAGTCCAAAGCAGACAAATAGCACCAACTCTATGCTTCTTTCCTGAAGAAACTTGTTCTTCTCAAGCAAGACATGCTTTCTGTATTACATTTTGCAGCTCTCTAGACAGACAAACTCTATAATAATCAGGAATACAATCAGGAATGACAGAACAGTCAACAGAAGAACAAGGCCATGGAAGCTTTGGCTCAGGACTAACACTTCATGATCTCCCACTCCTAACAGATAGGAAGAGGTGGCTTAGCAGCTTTATTTACTGGCTGAGTTTAAATAAATGCCAACCTTTAAACCATTTCTAACCTGTAGAAAAATCTGTAGCTATCTACCTGGCTTCATTGGTTTTAAGACTAAATAAAGCAAGACACTGCCAGAAGAGGGCTTGGCGCAGTGCTGGTCAGCTGTGGTCCTCATCACCCTGCCTGCCATCATATACAATGGGAAGGCAGTAGGGATTCAGGGACTACTATAGTTAGCCTCCATAGTTGTTTTAGTCCATCTAAAAAGTACTCCAGGGAGGGAGGGAGGGAACAAGTGGGAAAGAGGGAACAGCTGACGCTATGCAAAACAAATGTACATGTCACCCAATGTGGAAGAAATAACTGTACTGGAAAGCTCATATAACTCATAAATGTTATAGACCACAATTTGCCCCATGAAAGTTAGAATGTGTTTGTGACTTTAACTAAGCATCACTATTCCACAATACTGTGAAATTTGGGAAATTGTGTAATCAATCATAATAAAGAATTTGGGAAAAAATAAAAAGTACTCAACTATTTTAAGACTTATGGCAAAAGTCAAATCAAGAACTCTGGTGAAGTCACTTAGTCCCTTCATTTTCTTATGAGAAATAGTTGTCACGTACCCTTTATTCAATCCTGTCCCCTCTACCTGGCTCCACTTTAATTTTGACCCAGTTTCGATTATTATAGGGTTCTGGCTTTTTATTTAAATAGTGTTTCTTAATACCCATAAAAACTTATATACCAACACTGTTGTTTTTTTTTTTTTTTGGGTGTACATCCTGGAGCTTGGACTCAGGCCCTAGGCACCTCTGAGCTTTTTGGCTCAAACTAGCAATCTACCATTTGAGCCACAGTGCCACTTCTGGCTTTTTGGTGGTTAACTAGAGATAAGAGTGTCATGGACCTTCCTGCCTGGGCTGGCTTTGAACCACAATCCTCAGATCTCAGCCTTCTGAGTAGCTAGGATTATAGGCATTAGCTACCAGCGGCTGACTTAAATCAAAACTTCTTTTTCTAAATGTTATATTGGCACACACAGTCACTCACAACCACTTTTCTAGCCTCTCACTAGCTAAAATCAAGCCTCTAATATTAACACATTTTTTCCTGATTTTCACCACCACATTCTTCCTGCAGTCTAGAACAAATGATTCTCTTTTGTCCTGTGAAATCATATTCAACCTCCAGTATAGCTAAAATGTTACCTCTTATTGAGATATTGTTAAACGGTTGAGGTTATCCTCAAATTCTCATTTCTCCTTCCTTTGCCTCCCTCGTGTTGGGATTATCGATGTACACCACCACATCTGTTAAGGTATTATTTTTTCTTGTGCAGATCCTGGGTTTTGTCCTTGAGCTTTCTTGCTCTGAGATAGCACTCTATACTTTAGTTACATCTCCCACTTCAGCTTTTTGGTGGTAAACTTCCCAACTTCAGATCTAAGCCTCCTTATAGAGAGGATTACAGGTGTGAGCCACTTCCAGGGGCAAAATAGTTCCATTTAAATGAAGCCTGTCCCAATTTTCCAAAATTGCCTCTTCTTCCTCAGGCTCTATTATAGGTCTTTTTAACAGGGATACTGTGGTTTGACCTAGGCCCTTGCATTTGCTAAACAGGCACTCTTACTTAAGCCACATTCCCACCCCTCATTTAAATCTTTTAACACACTTCAACATGATTTTATTTATGGCTGCCTTTCCCCATGCTTTCCTATTTCGGACATGTTTTTTGTTTGCTCCACTGCTATTACTCAAGACTAATTGTGATAGTAACATTTGAAAAGCACTTTTGTAAACCTGTAAGGTGATATGTACTCTCTTTTACCATTTCATGGTCTGAAAAAGTTTTGACATACCGTACATACTATATTAAGAGTTACCAGGGGCTGGGAAGGTGGCTCAGTGGTAGAGTGCTTGCCTTGCATGCATGAGGCCCTGGGTTCGATTCCTTGGCACCACATAAGCAGAAAAAGCTGGAAGTGGTGCTGTGGCTCAAGTGGTAGAGCGCTAGCCTTGAGCTGAAGAGCCGAGGGACAGTGCCCAGGCCCAGGGTTCAGGCACCATGACTGG